TTTTAACTTTAATGAAGTTCACCTTATCAATTTTTCTTTCATGGTTTATACTTTGGGTATTGTAGTTAAAAGCTCATTGCTAAACCTAAGACTAGATTTTCTCCTAGGAAAATCTTCTAGAAAATTGCATTTTATGGTTGGGTCTGCTCTGCATATTGAATTAAGTTTTGTGACAGACATAAGGTCTGTATCCAGTTTTTTTTTTGTTTTGTTTTGTTTTTGGCACGTGAATGTTCACACACCCCACATCATTTGTTGAAAAGACTCTTTTCTCCATTGCCTTTGCTTTATGGCAAAGATGTGTCAAAATATTCTGCTATGGATCTGTTTCTGGATTTCCTGTTCTATTCCACTAATTTTTTTCTGATATTTCTCCAGTATCATATTATCTTGATTATGGTGGTTTTATAGTAAGTCTTGACATTGGATAATTTTAGTCTTCCAGCTTTATTCTTCAGAATTGTGTTGAATATTTTGGGTCTTTTGCCTTTCCATACAAACTTTAGAATTAATTTGTCAATATGTGCTAGATAATGTTGTGAGGTTTTCATTAGGATTTTATTGAACCTATTGCGTAAGCAAATGTGAGATTCTCTGTGTTCAAATTGTTCCTTAATATATCAATTGTATGACACAAACTAAGCAAATGAAATCAGTGGAACTTATCATAAACAGATATAGATATATATCCCCCTCCTCTCTGAGCCATTTGAAAGTAGATATAAGACCTCAGACACAATGAGGTCATATTCCTTCATAACCACAGTAGTTACCAATTCCAGGGTATTAATACTGATTCATCAATTAGCTTTTAAACTGTTTTTGTGGGGKTTTTTTTTGTTTTATTTTGTTTAGATTTTTAAAAATTCCCTTCCTGGCCTGTGCTAGGCACTGTGATTTGTTGAGATGTGAAGGCAAACAAGCAGAGTTCCTGCCTTTAGAAGTTCACAGATTCCTCAAGATAGACGTCCAAGGCATTATAATAGGTTGGGATAAGAGCCACTATAACTGTATCTGCTTTCCTTTCATTCAAGGAATATGTTAGAAGAAATGTACGTCCTGTGGGGTTAAGATAACTCTTGCCAGAGTGGCATTCTGGAGCTTCTGCCCCATGATTCACCATCCCGGTCCTGATGGACCTTCCTCTCAACGCAGAGGGACTTGTGCCCATCTAGAAGTCCATCCTGTAACCAACAGGATGTCATCTCCTCCCTTGGGTTCTTTCCATTTCTGTGATTTATCAGGCACAGAGGAACAAGGAGGGCATTGAGAACCAGCTAAGGGTTGGGGATTGTATCCTCTAGGTCAGTTGTATTAAGTAGGACATAGGTTTTGCCATAAATGCCAGTAATCTGAATTAACGGTGGTTTAGTCAAGATAGGATTTCATTTCTTTTTCACATGACTGTAGGTAGCTGGCCGAGGGGTGGAATACTGGCTCAGATCCCCCAGAGTCTTCCAGTGATGTGGGCTTATGTTGGCTTATGCTTCCATCATCTCTGCCATGCTATATCACCACGTCCACATTCCAGACAGCAGAATGGAGAAAAGGGCAGCTTCTTCTCTTCAGGCACAGTCTAGAAACTACATACTTCTGTCCACATTCTGCTGGCCAGAATTTACTCACATAGCCTGCATGCAAGAAGGTACTGAGAAACAGTCTTCTTTGGGAGGCCATGTACCAATATAAAAACAGTGAGTTTTAGTCCATATAAGAAAGGTAGAGAGGATATTGAAGACAGCTTGCAGCTTAGCAATTGTTAAAAAAAAAAAAGGCAAAAATGCCTTCTATAAAATTAATCCCTTAAGATGCTCCATAAAAGCATGTGTAGTAGCCAAATAATTTTGGAAAACATTAAGCAATATTTTGATCTCATTGAGATTCACAACATAGAATGGCATATTAAAGGCTCTGAGAAGTCCTTACAGTAAAGAAATGTGTCCATCTTTGTTTCACTTAAGATAATTTGGTGAAGCCAGGTGTGGTGACACACACCTGTAATCCTAAGCAGTTTGGGAGGCTTAGGCAGGAAGATCGTGAATTCAAACCAGCCTTAGCAACAGGGAGGCACTAAGCAGCTCAGTGAGACACTGTCTCTAAATAAAAAATACAAAATAGGGCTAGGGATGTGGCCCAGTGATTGAGTGCCCCTGAGTTCAATCCCTGGTACCCACCTACCCCCCAAAAAAGATAATTTAGTTTAAAAAAAATCCCCTTTACAGCTTTTAATTTTTTTCTTTTTTTGCAGAAACTATTAACATAAGCTTAAGAATCATAGAAGTTTCCTTAGTTTAAAGCAGTTCTGCTTTTAGGGATATAGTCAACAGAAATGTGTGCATGTTGTTTCAGTCAAAGTTCAGTCAATCAGGGGAGTAGAATGAGGAGAAATATAAAAGGATTTCCTGCAGGAATTGTTCGGTGGAACAGTGGGAGCTGGTGGGCAGCCTGTGAAAGCTGTGGTCTTGTGTCTAAGATGCAGCTTGAGGTCTATTTAGTACACAGTCATGGAGGAAGGGCAAAAAGGTGGAAAGGGGAATGTCTGGAACTTATGATGGACAGGAACCTGGCTGGGTCAGACTCCAAGACGTGGATTTCCTATAGGAAGAGCTGGTGTCCTTCATTATGGAGTTGAAAAAGCATCTAGCTTAGAAGTCAGAGAAGCTGAAGGAGCATCTAGCATTGGCGGGCCTGGCTGCTGCCTCTCACCTCTGTGCTGAGCCTGTGACAAGCCTCAATGGAGGTGAGCTGCCTGATGCTCCCATGCTCATGTGAACACAACATGGCTACTGTTTCACTTCTGACTTCCAAATCTCAACTGGAAATATACAAGTAAGGGAATTCTGAGTATAGTTTAGTATAACCAGGTTAGTGCTTTACAGAGATACTACACATATATTCACCAGGCGACAAGTACAGAATTTTGTTCACAGCAGTGCTGGTTGCAGTAGATTTAAACTGAAAATAAACTAAAGGGGCATCAACAGTTAAGCAGATGAACTGCTAGGCATATGATAGAAGTCATAGAAGAACAAATTGTTGCCACATGCATGAAGGTGGGTGTCTCCTACAAGTATATTGAGCAAAAGAAGACAGAAAAACTATGACTGCATTTATAGAAATTTCAAAAAGAACAAAGCTAATTCATGAAGTCAGGGTCTTGAGAGAGAAGATGACTTGGAGGGCTCTGAGGGGGCCTTTGGTATGCAGATAACTTTCTGCTTCCTGAACTGGGCTGTAATTATACAGGTGTGTTAAATTTAGGTAAATCGAATGGGTTGTGCAGTTGTAATTTGTGCTCTTGTTATACTTCAGTACAAAGTTTAGGTACATTAGAGTTTTTACAAGCTGTTGAGCAGTTGTGGACAGGCTGTGTTGGAGAAAGAAAACTAAGTGGGAACCTATGGAGTGGGGAAGGGAAAGGCAGTGGGCACTGGAAGACACAGCTTGGTGGAGAAAAAGGAAGACAGAACCTATAGAGGGCCATGGTGGCTCTGTCCTGGTTTTCCCTCTTCCGTGCTGGCCATGTGTTGTCATTGGGATGAAAGAGGCCCTCACATGGATTCTCACCTCTGGCACACATCAGCAGAATCTTCTGTGTGGCGGGGCAAGGAGAGATTGATTCTGGCACTTTTATAAATTCCCCAGCTGTCCTGATGCATTCCACAGGGGAAGCCCCACTGAACTATGTACATAATAAACATGGATGGAAGGAGAGGAATACAGGAATGTGAGGGAACTTATGCTTCAAATCCTTACTGTGATTCCCAAGCTTACCCTCTTACCACTCTTTCTTGTCCATTACCTTGGCAGGCACACTATTATTCTAGTCTTTCTGTTTTAGGGAATTTCTATTCCCTTTTCAATGCTTTTTGTTTTAGTGAATTCATTAGTTGGCTAGAATCAGGATTCCTCCTTTGCAAATAAACGACTTGAAAACGCCTAGTGGGACTGTATACGCCTGTGGCTGTCTGCTGCCTGGGAAGGCCGGACTGTGTTCTCTGATGCCTCACACAAGTACCTGACACACTGTTGTTGACTGGGATTATGGATGGCATTTTTGATGCCCAGAAAATTAGGGTGTGGAGTGTTTAATAGGAAGTTTGTTCAGAAGTAAAATCTCACAAGTAACTTAGTGTTTTTATTTTGAAAAAATTTGGAATAGGCATGAAAACAATAGGGAGTATTCCAAGGCATTCTCTGGATTCCCTCAGTCTGGCAGACGTTTGTCCTTGCTGCATTCTGAAGTTCCACCTTCTGTGACAGCACTCAACCTTCTCTTTCTTTTTTTGTCTTTGGACTCTTCATAGTCGGGGGCTGTGTCTTGTTCTATTTTGTGTCTCCAAAGTTGACCTCAGTAATTAATGATGAGAGACTTTGTCCCCAAATTCTGGAAGCAAAGAACTGACAGTTGACCCTTGAAGAAGGGCCACATTTGGGGAGAGAGGAGAAAGAGGGTGGGAAGCAGAACCACACTGATCAGAGGAGTGGGGAAAGATCCAAAATAGTATTCTGCCTGGGAAATCAGTGGAAAGGAGAGAAACTTTTAAGAATTGACACATACCACAAAGAGGTCAGTGGGAATGAGGATTTTTAAAAAACAAGAGTTTTGGGACTCATCAAAGTCATTAGTGTCTGAAGAAAGGTGAGATGGGAAACAAGATCCTGAGGGATTAAGGGAGCATGTGAGATGAGGAAATGAGGGCAGAAGTGAGGCCATGAGAGGGAGATCTGGAAGTGGCTGAGAAGAATGGCGGAACCCAAGACAATCAGCCAGAAGAGACTGTTCAAATGAAGCAGAGATAGGGTTCCCTTACTACCCATCCTCTGGTCCTGTGGGGTAATCCATTGGGTCCTGCATGAGACAAACCCATGAGCATCTGTGTGGCTCTGTACCAGGCTGAGTCAGCTGTACATATTTGAGAAGCCATGTGTGGTACATATAAAGCCCTTTTCTTTGAATAATCTTGTTTCTTTTAACTTGTATCCTCCCTTTCCCACAGGAAACATGGTAGAATGGTGCTTACCTCAAGACATCGACCTTGAAGGTGTTGAATTCAAGTCTATGGCCAGTGGGTCCCATAAAATTCAATCTGACTTCATGTAAGTACTTCCAAACCTCAGTCTTGTGTCATTTCCTTCCACTCACCCCTGACTCTCTCCAGAGCACAAGAGCTGTTATGGGTTATTCAGATAGGGTGTATAAAAATGTTCTGAAAATATATGCATAGTTTGTGCTCATATTAGTTTTCCAGCAATAAGGTCTCTAGCTTTCATCAAGTTCTCAGTGGGTTTCATGATCCCCTAAAGGTAAGAACCCCTATCATAGAGGTTCTCTGACTTGCTAAGAAATAATGTGGACCTTGCTTGATGTGGTTTTCAGCTTAGTGTCGATTAACTTAAGACATCTAGGTGCCGAAAGTTGGAATTCCAGCTTTAAGTAAAGCCAGTTTTTAGTCCTGTGTAATTGGTGCATTGTGAGTTTTATGAGGAAGAGCAAGCAGAAAGACCTTAAGGGTAATTTTGTAGCTTTAATCCATTTGTACTGAAACCATAGCTGATAGAGTGTGAGAAAGGGGAAGAAAATAAAGTGGCAGAAGTATTGAAAACTTCAGAGGCTCAGGAAGTGAGAGAAGAATCATCATGGTTTATGCCAAGAAAATAGGCAGCTAGTTCCAGAGGGGCTTAGAGATGGATCTTGGTCTGGCTGCCCCATCCTGGTCAGGATGGGATAGGACTGTGTCCATATGTCCATGGTCATGGGCAATTGAGCAGCAAGCTCACCAGATGTCCTGACTCCAGCTGGATGACCCTCAGCTGGCGAGTTTTCTATCCCTGTGAGCTTTGTCTCTTCTGTGAGGTCAAGTGGCTTGTTTTAAGGCTGAACTTTGTTATTTGGAGCTCTGGATACAATTTATTTAGTTTGGAATTGCATCTTAAAGAAAAAGAGAGCAAAAGAAAACAAAACAAAATCTCTTCCTGATTTTGAGCCCCACTATATATTTTGGTCTATTTTAGCTATTTTCGAAAGGGGCCTTTCTTCGGCCTGGCCTGCTTCGCCAACATGCCCGTGGAAAGTGAGCTGGAGCGGGGTGCACGAATGAAGTCCGTGGGCATCCTCTCGCCCTCCTACACCCTGCTCTACCGGTACATGCACTTCTTGGAGAACCAGGTTCGGTACGTGGCTTCCATACAGGTGTGGGGTGGCAACAGGGCCTGCCAGCTGGCACATGAGAGCAGTCCCTGGAGATGGAGGTTGTGCCAGAACCACAGGTGCCCTTCCAGGAGGCGTGGGATGGTCTTTTTCTTTCCGCCAACATCTTGTAAAATAGTCCTTCAGGGTGTAATGAGTGCTGGGTGAGTTTGCTTTCAGTTCATACTAATGCTCTCATCGCACGTAGTTAAATAATTTGTTGAAATGTACATGATCTTTGTTTACCCTAAGACACAATAATTAGCTCTTTGACCCAGTAGTCAGGCAGACTTTAAACTTCTTTTATGAATAATTATTTACTATTTGGGGTCATAGGAGGAGAATTTTTAACAGAAGCAGCAAAACTATTAGTTACTGTTTTTTTTTTTTTTTTAATTATGCAAGTAACCTAATTACCTTTCAGATTATGAGGGGAAATCTATCTCTAATCCTAAAATCACTGTTAAAATTTTAGCATATTTGCCTCTTTTCTGATATATGTTTTTATACTTAAAGAAAATACTTGGCATCATCCTTGTATAAAGACTTTTTGTAGGCCATTCCTTTAGAATTTATCATTATTTAAAAATTTTTAAGAAATACCTATCTTGAAACAACATGAAATTTATTATTTGTGAAAAAGTATGTTTATTATTTTAATATTTAAAATACAAAATAATAAAAAATTCCTCTCAAATATTAACATTCAAAGATCCATTGTCAGTATCAGTGAATATCATTTTAGAGTGGAAATACTTTGCAAAGATAGGATTAATAGTTTATTAATCTGAAGATTTACTTTTTCAAATAGGCAATTTTGATGAAATATGTTAAGCATAGTTTCACTTGTAAAGATCAGAAAAGCTGGATCTGTCCTGAAGTATATATGGTTATTCCCTATGGTTGAGCATTTAGCATGTTTCTTGTTCTTTCTTTCTTCCTTTCTTCCTTCCTTTCTTTCTTTTTTCTTCTCGCTGCTTCTCTACATTCTGGAGCTGAGCTGTAATGATGAACATCTCTGCATCTTTTTTTTTTTTTCATGTGTTTGCGATATTTCCTCAGAAGTATTATAATGGGTGAGACTGTAGCTCAGTGGCAGAGTGCTTGCCTAGGACATGTGAGGCACTAGGTTTGATTTTTAGCACCACATAAAAATAAATGAAGGTATTATGTCCATCTATAACTACAAAAAAAAAAAAAACATTTTAAAAATAAGTAATATTATGGAGTTTTTAGAAAGGAACATTTTTATGGGTATCCTGAAACCTTTAGGAAGTTATTTCTTTTTAAAAAATTAATATCACAAATAGGCAATATATTCTTTTTTTTCTTTAGGTGGACACAATATCTTTTATTTTATTTTTATGTGGTGCTGAGAATCGAACCCAGTGCCTCACAAATGCTAGTCAAGCGTGCTACCACTTGTGCCACACCCCACCCCTAGGCAATAATCTTACAGCTCAGAAATCTAAAATTATAGAAAGGTATTATGCTAGTAAGGGTCCTGGCTGAACAGTAATAGATGAGGCTCAAAAATACAATGTCTCAATTAAGATAGAAATTTTTATCTCACACAGTAGTTGAGATAGGCAGGTAGTCAAGATGGGTGACCTGCTGTGTTCCATACAGTTGTGCAGGGACCCACCTCTCCTCTCTCATTATGCCACCACCATCCTAATAGTGATTTTTTTTTTTTGTATTCTAAGGTATTGTCTGAGTTTTCAAAGCTGCTCACCACTAATACACCTGCATTTCAGCCCACAGGGAGGAGGGAAAGAAGAGAAGTTTATACATCACCTGTCATATCTATTATCAAGTTCTCAATCACAAAGATACACCTATCAACAACATAGACTGGGAAAAATGTAGGTGTGTGATTCTGTGACCACTTTACATTCTTGAGCTTTGATTATAAACAGAAAGAATAGAATTTGAGGAAATAATTAGTGGCTTCTGCTTTAGTTTTCCCCTTTGGCTATCCATATATCCACGTGCATTCTTCTTCCCAAATAGAAGCCATTTCTCCCTCACCAAAAAGAATCAGTGTCTAGGTAATGCCTCCAACCTAAAATTCAAGATTTCTGTGTGGATACACATCAGTCCTTCATTAGATCAAGGCCTGGTCCTTCTTACCCTGAAAACCTATAAAACTATAGAGAATTGCCTCCATTCCCTACCTCCCCAATACAACATAGAAGGTGAAGTAGGAGCCACTGTGCAATCTCTTACCTGGAAAAGTGAGGGATGAGAAATACAAACAGTCATTAATCCATTGCAGTGATGAAATTCTGTTGAGCAGGGATTGTACATAGTCCTTGTCCTGCAGAACATTGAGCTCTTGGCTGAATCTTGGTGCTGCCGGGTAGAACAGCACCTTGTCTATAGTTCTCTATGGATCCTGGCCTGGCCTTTTAGCCCCATCTGAAGCCCTCACTGGAGGACATGCCCTTGCATCTGCACAGCTCCAGAATACATTTCTTACTGGTGCAGGTTTGGGGGTCTAATGGTCTTTTCAGGAGTTGAGAAGCCCTAGGTTTTTATAGGCCAGACATGAGGCACTAAATGCCTCTCAAAAACGAAATAGACTCTCATGACTTCCAGTCTGTCCCAGGTCTCCACTCCAAAGATCTCTTTTGGGTCAAGGTTTTTAAGTCAGTGGGGTCTAAATTAGTTACTGGTATCTATTCCTGACCACCCCTTTCCTCCTCATTTCAGCAAATATTTATAAGCTATACCCTTTATTTGATCTTTAAAGTAGACCGACTTCCATGTCCAAGAATACTTAACTAAAGAATTTCATTTAAGCACTGGGAGAGAAGAATTTAGGTAGATGCTGAGAGCCATAGCCAAGTAAGAATGACGCATGGCATTTTGATTTGAAAGGTGACCCTGCTCAGGGATTAGGGCAGCTCCAGGATTAGGGTGTATCCTGCTGCCTCAGGCGCCGCTCCTTTAGAGTTCCCGTGGAGTTCTCGGGGTTCTGAGAGTATTGGTACGCAGAGCCCGGTGGAGGGAGTGTATTTTTCCCAGAACGTGCGTGTACAGTGCCGGTGAGAGTTTGGGAATAAAGAGTTGCTGTTGGAATCTACAAGGCTTTTGTGGTGGCTCGGTTATTTTGTGCCTAGCTAGACTGCGGCAGGTAAAGAAGAATTTGCTTTTCCAGCTCCATGGGGCTCCAAATTATTGGAGCCTCCATTGATTTATTATATAAAACTTAGTCCGGCTGGGGTTGTGAGAGAGCACTTGCCACACCACATAAAAATAAATTAAAGGTATTGTATCTGCATACAATATATATATATATATATTTTTTTTTTTTTAAATTAGAATATACTGTCATTAGTTACCTGTATTTTCTTCTATTTCTGCTCACAAGCTGGGCAATTCTTACCTATTTTCATCTTACTCTTATCTTGTATTGATATATATATTTCTTCTTTTTGCTCACCCAGAGCAGCATGGAGCAGGTGAAGCTACATGTTCAAATGACAGAGGGTCTGGCTTCAGCTTATTAAAGTTGACAAGGGTCACCAGCTTTCTAGTCTGAAATAGCTATGATTTTTCTTTCTTTCTTTTTTTTTTTTTTTTTAACCTCCTTCTACTGCTAAGCCAATGCCACATTGTGGTTTTTGATACTGTAGTATCTCATTTTAAGGTCCATAACTTCTGCTTTGCCTAAAATTCAGGCTAAGTTATTATAATAAAGAGGAGACACAAAGCACTGAAAACAAGATAGAATTTCAGCTTTTCTACCATGAGGTAGAAATTTCAGCTTTTCTCCCAGAGGAAGAGAAGCCATCTAGTATGGGGTGGTGGCTCTATTGCACTGGTTCTTCTGGGATATAAGTCATTCTCTTATGCCATCCCCTAGAGCGATGTCTTCATCCACAGGATAGACACTGACTCACATTTTCATATCATGTTCCACCAGTGAGAAGGACGAATGATGCTGAAGTCCCAGAATTTGAACACCTCACTTCTGCTCTTACTCCATCGGCCAGTTCTTGGGGACTGGCCACACCTAGCAGAAAAGGAGTCTGGGAAAAGTAGTGTGTAGCTGGGTGTCCATGTGATCACTGAAGTTTGGAAGGCTTTATTAAAAGAGGAATAGAGCAGCGATTTCCATCAATGACGCACGATGAAAAGTCTTCACCTAGTTCCCACATCTATTCAACAATCCCAGCAATCACTGTTCATTTCTCATGTGTCTTCCCAAGTTTGTATGGGGATATAAACAAATACAAATGTGAATGCTTATTTTGTTACTTTTCACACAAAAGGTAACATGTTTGCACCTCACTTTTTTCATTCAACAGTATGAGAGATCTTCCCACACCAGTACCTTGAGAACTTCTTTGTTGTTTTTCACAGTTGTATTATATGACCTGTACAGAAGAACAGCACTTTATTTATCAAGTTCACTACTGATAGGCATTTGGTTGTTTCATCTTTTGCTATTACAATTGATATCACACTGAATACCTGTGAACAAGCATCAATTTGCATGAATGATATATCTATACATTAAATTTCCAGAAATGAAATTAGTAGTTTAAGTGGTGTATGTATTTATGATTTTAAGAAATCTTGTCAAATTGCATTCCATATAAGTGGAACACTTTCCCATGCCCAGTAGTAATGTAGGAGAATGCCTGTTCTATCCCATCATTGCCAATACAAAAATTAAAGTTTTGAATTTTTTGGCATTCTGATGGATTGAAATAATACCCCAGCATAGTTTTTATAAGCATTTTTCTTCTTATAAGTGAGGTTGAGCACCTATAAGTCATTTGCATTTTCTTTTCTGTCAGCTGTTTCTAGCCTTTGCTACATTTTATTGTTGTTCTTGACCTTATTAATTTCTAGGAGTTTGCTGTATAATAGGGAAATTTTCTCTTTGTGATATAAATTGAAAATGTTTTCCCACTTTCATTTGTTTTTTATCACCTTTTTCTTGTGTTCATATTTTTTCTTTTTGTGACTG